ATCATATACAGTGAGTCATCTGCAGTGAATCATATACAGTGAGTCATACAAACAAGTTGTTTGTTACAGTTTGCTCTCTCCCAAACCTGCAACAGCACATTCGCTCTGTGAAAAAAGCCCCTTCTTTACCCAAGTTAAAAGTTTGCAGCTCTGGTTGTGCAGGTATTCCCTGGAACAATTCACTTTTTTTCTACAATGAAATGAATAATTTTCCAGTTTCAGCAGTTGTTGTAGCAGTATGTACAGTAGGCGTTTTGTAAAACAGTTTAGCAAAATGAAAGTTTATGTGGGTGGGAAAGGTGAAGCACTCACACCTGTCTCCATCTTCATCTGCCCCACTCTGGACCCTTGTGCACGGCTCTTCACCCCCACCATCTGCTCCCCGGGCGCCCTACACAGCAGCTCTCTGCTCCACACAGAGGCTGTGGTAGCTCGGTGTCTGTGTTGTTGTCAGGAAGGACGTGTGGCATAAAAACAATCACCAAGTCTTCATGCGAGTTAGTTCACTGTGGCCACCCCTGAAGAAGGAGGCAGCCGAAAGAAGATGAAAGAATATTTCAGTGAGATGGCTGCACAGACCAGTTTGTCTTTAAGCTGCCTCTGGCAGACGGACACAAACATCTGACATGTTCTGAATGCAACAGGTTGTGCACGTTTTTCTTGTTTGTTTGTTTAAACCATCGGCATACACCAACATTGTGATGATATGATACAGGGTGATATGCATTTCTTCAGTAAATGCTATTTTTCTTTGAATAAGTGTCAGGGGGTGTTTCTATTAAAGTCAGTTTAAATTAGGTTTCTCTGTTTTTATTTTGAGGTGCAAGAAGTGGGTTGACCATTGCCAGAGGAAGGAGCTCCTGGAGAAACCGGCGGAGCAGCTGTTCAGATACTACAGACTGTGTGGGAAACATTTTGACACGTCTGCGTTTGATGGTGTAAGTTTAGCCTCACTTTATACAGCCACCCTGACCCATTCACACCATTCAGAGCTTTTATATGCTTTTTCAGAGCATTTGATTTTTTATATACGTTTTTGTGATTATAAAACAAAATGTGAGCATAATTGATAAAACCGTGCATGACGATGTACTCATCGCAAATAACGCATCACTTTGTGATTACGTATTAAATGTAAGTTTTGAATGAAAACTTTGACACAAGTGTTTGCTACTCGTTCACGTATTGTTTGCTTTGGTTGCAGGATGCTCCAGGTACAGTGCTGAAAGTTGATGCCGTACCAACTATTTTTGATTTGGCACCTCAACCTCAAACTGAACAAGTGAAGCGTGCTAAAGAGACGGTGGGTAAAACAAATCTGTGTCACTCTTTTGATCTAAATATGCAAATAGATTTCTGTGCTTTGTAAAAATTAAATAGCATTGTGAACCCCCACAAATAAATATGTAATTAAATACGTTGCATTCTTTGAATGGATGCATGTTGCACGCTGCCTTTCATGCCAGACTTCAAATTGAACAGAACATGTGCAAGATGTCAGCTCCAAGCTTTAAACTGCACGAGATGCTCCTTTTATTCAATTCAATTCAAAAATATTTTATTAATCCCAGAGGGAAATTAAATGTTGATGTAGCTCATGATCCTGGTTTCATTAAAGAGTTGTTCTAGATGCTGATGCTGTGGGCAGGAAGGACCTCTTGTAGCGTCTGTCTTACTGTCTTCAGGTCTTCAGCGCGTGCATAGAACTTGTTGAGGGCATCAGGCAGTGATGAGTCCCCTGGGCGTTGTGCACCTCTGCCTTTATAATCTGTTAATGCCCTCCACATGCTCCGTGGGTCCTGTGAGGTGAATAGACCCTGGATCCTCTGAGCATACACGGCTTTGGCTCTTTTAATACCGGCAACCAGCTCTTTCCTTCTCCTTCTCGGCTCCTGTGAGTTTCCAGACCTGAAGGCAGTGTCCCTGGCTTCCAGCAGGGTGCAGGGGCCAGAAAAATGGAGATATGGTCAGAAAGTCCTAGGTGGGGGGCGGTGGGCAGCTTTGTATGCATCTCGTACGTTGGTGTAAACACGTTCCAGCGTATTGCTTCATCGTGTTGGTATGGCAACATGCTGTTAAATGTATATAGATTCCTTTTTATTGGTTTTCTGTAACAGTTTAATTATTAGAGAAGCTGAATAGGTTTTCATCTGCTGTAAGATATAATTATCAACATAGATCGAAACAAACCCTTGAAATAAACCCTCACTCAGTATTGAATTAATTTATTGATGAATGTCAGATTTTGAAATAAATTACTGAAATGAACCTTTTCATTGACTGTTGTATTGAGCTGTGCTGTATATGCATTAATAAGTTTAAAGTTTAACCTAGGGTTATATTTTTTAATTGTTTGATTTGTGTGTCATCATTATTTCAATCTGTTTTTTTGTAGGCCAAAGATGAAGAAACGAGCAGTAAGGGGAGAAAACGTAAGAAGAACTGTTATTACAGACTCAAATTATTTTTAATACTTGACAGTAAAACAGAAGTATTATTATCAGGGGATTACAGATTTATTAAACTGATGTTTATTAAATGTCTTACCAACAGGAATCAAGAAGTGTCAAGATGAGGTCTCTCAGGAAGATACCCAGGTGGTACCAGAAGAACAACAAAAGTATCTCAAGTGTTTATTTGAAGCACTTCTTCTATTGGGAAAGCAAAGCATTCCACCTTCAGGGTCAGCTGATGATGAAGGCCTTAGATCAAGCAGCTTTCATGCTTTGCTACAATGTAGCATGAACTGTGGAGAAGAAGTGCTGAAGGAGAGGTACGATGCCTCAAAGCAGTGCTGCTTCTCAGAGGAGCTCCATCAGTTGGTTGAGGTGTGTGAGAGTTATGTGCGCAGTAAGGTGATAGAGGAAGTTAAACAAAACGGCTTTTTTTCTTTGCTCACCGATGAGCCTGTGAAGATCTCTAGCGACTGGTGCCTCCCAGTCTTTCTTCGTTTTGTGGCACAGTCTCAGTGCTTGCAGGAAAGATTTGTGGGGTTCTTGAGCATTGAAGAAGATGGAGATGTTGTGGCTGAAAAAATGTTGTCCATATTGACGGACCAATGGGGTTTAGATATGGACCAGTGTAGAAGCCAAGCCCACTCCTGCTCCGGGACACGTTTCAGTAAAGTCAAAGCTTTTGCTGCCAAAGTGACTGAGAGATATCCAAAGGCCGTGCTTACCTTTAAATCTACTCATGCCTTGAACGTGTCACTGGCCAATAGTATCAGACTCTCGGGCGTTCAGCTTGTCATGTCCACCTTTAAGAAGATTGAGTCCTTTTTCTGTGAGTCACCTTTGTTACAATTAGAGTTTGAGCATGCCATTTCCATTTTCTACCCGGACAAAGAAGACAAAGCCAACGAGCTGAAGGAGATCTGCCGTACCAGCTGGACCAAACGAAACGATGCATTTGAGGTGGCAATGGAAGTCATCGAGGCGCTGCTACTCTGTGTGGACAGTGTGCACGACAACGAGGACATGAGGTGGACGGACCAAGTCACACACAATGCATTAGACATCTCAAAAGCACTGACTGATTTTGAGTTCATCATGGCGTTACTGGTGCTGAAGAACGTTACAGTGCTCACCCAGGCTTTTGGGAAAAACCTTCAAGGGGAAGCAGCAGAAGCCCATTCAGCTGCAGTTTGTTCAAAAGCTGTAACGGACTCCCTGAAGGAAATGTCTGACAACATGGACGTGTATCATGACTTCTGGTATGACGAGGCTGTTAACCTAGCCACAGCTATGGAGATCCCAGTGAAAGTTCCTCGACTGTTCTTGAGAAAGCACCAAGGAGAACCTGGAACTATTCAGCCAGACACTTACTATAAGGAGAACCTGTCTGTTCCCATTGTGAACCACATCATCAAGGAACTGAATGAGCTCTTCTGTGACACCCACTTGAAGTCCTTGAGGTGTTTGTCTGTCATACCTGTCATTATAGAGCAGAACAAGGCTGCACAGCCCGAAGAGGAAAACATCCAGATATTTAATGGTGACATCCCAAACCCTGGCAGCCTTTCTGCTGAGCTGCACTGCTGGTCGGTTAAATGGAGCAAAAAAGCCAAAGGTGAGACATTTCCTTCCAGTCTCCACGAGACACTGCAGCTGGCAGATGTCAAGTTCTTTCCTAACGTGCTGGTGATCCTGAGACTTCTCAGCATCCTGCCTACCTTGGCTTTCAAGAACAGCTGTGATGTGGCGTACAGGCACTTCGAGATGTACGTGAAGAACATGGCCGACACGTTTGAATCAAGAAGTCTAGCTGTGCTGAACATGAACTACGATGTTGAGTTTGATCTGGATGCGATGGTTGAGATGTACATGGAGATGTACCCAGACAGTCATGAAGAGTCTCCTGAGCTTCCAGACTGATCAAGTGGGTTATTTTCTAGGCCTCGAATTAAAGTCTGACATCCTGTTGGTCGTTTTATTTTATTTGTGGGGTTCAAATGTAGAAATGGCAGGAATGACACAGTTTTCCAGTCATGGGTCAAGGACGAGAGGGAATGGTCAGAAAGGATCTCACTGGAGAAACAGGTTTTATTTCCTTTTTCTGTCATTACTGAAGCCAAGTTCATTCTGCTGCAGTTTCTGCACTGTAAGAAATTACATTTTTAGTATTTTACAGGTCTGACTGAAAAAATGAACAGTGTTTGCAGATTTTATGTATTTTTGAATAGTTCCAAAATGTTAAAATTGACCCAACAAAATATGTTTCTTTTATTTGGGGGTGTTATAAAAAATAAACATATATTTTATAATGCTTTTAATTCATTTACCACATCATGTCTCAAGTTGAATCTGCATCTTTCTTTGAGTTTCTGACTGAAAACGTTTGTCTGGCACGATTTTAATTCGGTGGATGCCTTCAATTAACAACAACAAAAACATTACAATAAATTTATAAAAACTAGCTGAAACATTAGTGAACTGAAAAGGTCAAAATTAAATATCAAGGTTGAACACTTCTAAAAATGGGACTAAAAATAAATAAAGTGTTTCCCTGTCAGTGGTTCAAGAACCAGACTGAACAGAAAAGCCTCAAAAACCCAAATTCTACTTTTAGTTTTTATTAAACTAACAAATATTTTATTACGTGCCAGTTTACAAAAAGTGTCTGATGAAGTCCTGATGTCTGAAAACGGGTCCGAGCCTTACTCTTAGTTTTGTTATGGATCTAAATGTGCAAATAAAGAAGCAGGCTTTTGGATTTGGTCATATACTGTGTATATATATATATATATATATTTTTTTTTTTATTCTGTTTGTAACTGCTGTTTCTAAATGTAATATCTGAACCAAAAATATTTTAGCTTTTTAAAAATGGAATTTTGAAAACCAAGATTGCAAGTTCTGTCACTGCCAAGACGTTTGTCGTTTATTTGAAATACTGTCAGTAAAAGAGTTTGTGCTCGTGCAGAGAGTCCAGTTTCACCACAGTGTTTGGTGATAAATGGAGAAATATTCCATTTAAAACCAGTGGTAAATTCATTCTCTTTTTACTGCCTCTAGTTAGTAACGTTAAGAATAAAGATTTAAATCTTTAAAGTAGTTTTCACTTGAGTAGATGAGTTTTATTTTCTGTCCCTTTTGTTTTTGTTTGGACAATAAAGTAAAAAAAGACTTTCTAAATTGTGCATGACTCTTCATTGTTGTTTCTTTTTCTAAACATATTTTAGTACTTAAATTACATAATACAAATTACAGTTGTTAAATATTTGACAAGAACAACCAGGATAAGGTGAGCAGATTTCTGAAGGTGAATCTGGACATTTCCAGCTCGGAGACCAAAAACAATGAACGTTTATCAAGAGGACATTAAAAACAGGGACAGTTAGTTTCATTTATTTTTACATATTAATTCATGATTAAACGATAAAAATCTAATATAACAGCAGCAACGTGTCTCTCCACACTTTTCCCTAAGAGTAATTAAATGAATAAAGTAATAGTAGTAGTAATAGAGTACTAAAACTAGGGGGTCAAGGGTATGTACTAGTAAGTGAGCGTGGTGAGTGAATGAGAACATGTATGTACTTGCATAAGTGTGTATAAGTACACAGTGTATGGTTATGTAGCTGATGTGTGTTTATAATGTGTGCACGTGTGAGGTGAGTGAAGGTCAGGTAGTCACTGACATGATCTCCTCTCTGGTTCTGAGGCCTCTGTCTGAAGAGACATCAGCCATGGAGACCATGGAGGTCTGGAAGAGCAGATAATAGTAAAGAGAAATACTTAAAATGTGAGAAATAAGACACAATTTAGTAATCTGATTATATAACTATTACTTTCTCTTTATTTGTTCTTCCACTTGTTTCATCGTCACTCAAACAACTGCCTCTTCACACGGCTGCTGTTAGAGAAGAACATGAACCTGACGCTCAGCTCAGAGGAGGAACTTCTGTCCTCTCGACTCAAACATCTCACCAAGTAGATACTCTGTCATCACTCACTGTGTTACCAGTCAAACCACTTCATCAGTTCATCACTTGAACTCTAATTGTAAATATTTGACGTCATAAATGTGACAGATAAATATGAACATTAACTGAAGAGCAACAATCTGAAGACCAGACAAGGACGTAGGAATGGAGACTCTGCTTGTAATGTCTCAGTAAAATGACACCTCCTCTTCCTCTAGTGGTCTACACTCGTCTCCAGGTCAGAGGTCACTCTTTCAGGGATGAAGATGTTCACATCCTGGACAGAGAGGAACGATGGTTTGAGAGAGGAGTAAAGGAGGCCATCTTTGTGAAAAGAAATCGTCCATCATTAAACAGGGGTGGAGCCTCCAGGTTCAACTGTCCCCCTCTTACAATGCTGTGATTGCTC